CCCATATTCTATGATTTCTACTAGGGACTTTAAGTGAGGAAGAACCGTACAACCAATCAAAATAGGAATCTGCTGAACAATCTTGATCCCAGTATGCCTAGCTTGCCATGACTTCTTACTCTGACACAACTTTAAAAAATGGCAGAAGTGAAGGAATCCCAAGTGCAAAAGCAACAATACTAAAAGCTCTAGCAGTTGTATTCCTAATATATTAGCAGAAGTGCAAGAATCCCAAGTGCCGAATTCATGTAATGCAAAAGTTAATGACCAACTAAAATATTATCAAAAATTTTCCAACCTGGCAAGAAAGTCGCCTGATTGTCGCTATACAAGTGGCCATGATCATGTCAAGAAAAATACACATCCTTATGTGATCCAAATTGTGCATCATTTGTGGTCCAGAATAGAAAACTAATCCATATGATAGAAGTGATTAAAACTTGACAAAGAAAGAAGAAGTTATGCACCCATTTGAAAGATTTCAGTCAGTCAAGAAGGTTGGCAATTTGGGAATAATTTCATTCCATCAATCGTACCTTTTCAAGTCTTTACCAGATAATGTTATGATAGCATAAAGCTTATCATCTTTACACAACAATGGCCAAAGCAGACAACTTGCATTCCTAAAAAATGAAATGGAATATATTTCAGGAATTAATCCTCCTCAATAGTACCTTTTCAGCAGAAGAAGCACGACCAGAATTTGCCCCAACACCTAACCGGCTTATCAAATCTTTTGTCTGCTCAATCTCCTTCTGATGCTTCTCCCACGCAGCATATTGAGATTTAACCCATGATGCATTCGCCTCAACATACTGAGAATAAATACCCTCAAATGTCCTGGAAACACCCATATCAGTCTCCACAATCTTTGTGCACAGCTGATCTAGAAAAGCTCTATCATGGGATATAATGACCATTGGAACATCTTGCTTGTTGAGATACCTTTCAAGCCACTCAATTGTATCAAGGTCAAGGTGATTTGTAGGCTCGTCCAAAAGCAATAAATCAGGTTTCTGCAAATTTACATCTATATCAACAAAACAGCTAGAATACCAATTTACTCTACTACGTATCGTACGCATGACCCACTGATTAACAACCTACACATCATCAAAAGATATATAACAAGATAACCTGTTAATAGTAAAAATTTGGAGGCCGAGTCCAATCATAGCTATAACTTATGCAAAAGTAAACAATGTTGTTTTTGAACATTACTATTACTATGTAAATATACATTTAAAAACAATATATTTGTTAGCCATCAACGAATCAACCTCCTATGCAATTCTAGAAGTGAACTCCTATACCTCTTAACCTCTACAAATTAGGCTCAAGAAATTCATTGCCCCTACTTGATTTAACAAAGCAAAAAAGAAACCTTTGGTTAAACTAGGCAACTATCATGATATCAAATTAATAATTTTACCTGCAACAAGATCTTTCCAAGTGACATCCTCATCTGCCAGCCGCTACTAAAACTGCCAACCAACTTATCCGAATCCTCAGGAGAAAACCCGAGCTCCGGCATCAACTTGCTAACCTTAGCATCAACCTCATCCAAATCAACAGCCTGAGCTCTTCTTTGCAACAAATCAAACTCATCCAAAAAGCCTTCCCATCAGCTCCAAATCCTCGGTAGTCCCTTCTATCGCCTTTTGAACCCTCTCTAACCTCTTAGAAATCTCCATTTCCTCTTTAAAGGAACTCATAAACTCCTCCCTCACCGTCCTAGTCATCAAAACCTTGAATTCCTGGTTCAAGAACGCAACTTTCATGTGGGGCTTAGCCTTTATAACGTTCCCCGAATCGGGTTCTTCTAGCCCAACTATAATTCTCATTTGGGTCATTTTCCCTGCTCCATTTACTTCAACCAATCCAACTTTCTCGCCTTTTTTCACTTCCCAGCTCACATCTTTCAAAACGTTACTTTTTTATAGCTCTTGCTAATGTTTTCGAGCTTTACACCAGAGGAAATACCCGAAGCACCGGGAGGAAATACCCGAAGCACCGGTGTTGGATTTCCTGTTGCCACGCTTCCGATCAATCTCTTCCACTGTGTCGGATGAAAATAATGATTCAATGTCGTTTTGAGGGTCATTGACAGAGGTCTCAACACTGACAGTGGAAACTTGGGAAGTTATCTTAGCGGGTCTAAATTTAAGGCATTTGGGGGAGGCAAGTGAGAAGGAACCCCTTGTAAAAGAGGGTCGTAGAGAAGGAAAGAACGATGAGTGAAGGTCTAAGCGGTGGAGTTTTGTGGAAAGGTCCATGTTTGAGTATTGGGAAAGTGAAGGAAATATGGGGAAATGAAAGGATAATATCCGAAGAAGGGCAATGGGAGATCCTATGAGAAAATCTATGGAAGAGAACTAAGGAACTCTCTGCCCACAAATAAAACTGAAGAGTTACGAGAGAAAAAGATATTCCCGGTCTTTGACTGGGCAAGAGATTGATAATGGAGGGTTTAAGGGAATAGTATTGAAATAAATAATCCCGGTAAAGAGAAGGGTAATTTTTACCCAAAAACATATGCTAGCAGGGAGAAGAAAGGGAGTGGAGAAGAAGATATCGCGTAGAGACAAGATGGAGAAGAGGGGTATTTTAGCCCTTAGCACGGGACTAAAATAAAACCTAACATACATACGAGAATAACATTCCCAAGAATAAAATCCCAAAAATTGCTATTGGTATTATAATATTACATTCACTTGGAAATCATACCCCAAACAAACATGGATATCTTTCATCAATAAACAAATATGCATGCTGGGAATGTTAAATTCCTTGATCCAAACGGACTCTAAAAGTATTTTCAAATCATGTATAGAAGGAAAGGTCAAACGACGTCGTATTCATTTACAATCTTTTATATTTTTTCATTGAGGATAAAAATATAATTATACCCAAAAATATTTTGAACTCAAGGTTATTTGATTGAATGTTTTTTTATTATAAAAAAAGTGTGTTTACGAGAAAATAAGATGAAAATTCGGAAATAGATTATGAATATATAAAATTGGAGGCCCATAAAGAGAACGAAGGCATAAGCGTAAGGTCCAATGAGGACTATTTCTTCTCCGCATTTCTTTTGTTGCTAATGCTACTTATTGCCTTCTCCAAGTTACTATTCCACACTTTAGATAAGGCCCAATGATACTTTTAGCCTTTATTTTTTTAAATTATTTTAGCCTTTTAATTATTTTCACTCTTTTTATTGTAAATTTTATTTTTATGAAATTAAATTAAAGGATGAAAAAGTAATAATTTTATTAAGTTTATTTCAATTATTTAATTTTTTAATGTTGATGTTATATATTTTATTTTTAATGTAAAAATTTTTAAAATTAATTTTTTAAAAATATATTTAAATTATTACAAATTTAGTTTTTTTATTAATTTGGGGTGAGTACAAGAGAGCATATGTTCATAGACTCTCAACCATTTGACATTAAACGCACATACTCCTGACATACATGATACTCGAAAACTGAGACCCTAAAAAATAATAACAATTCCTTAATCATTAAAGTTACTTGATACAAATTATTATAAATTTCTAAATATTATTAAAACATAAAAACATAATATATGTAATGGACTATTTTAGTCTTTTTAAAGCCACAAATTATTACACTTCTTTCTAGATTATTTTGGAGGAGTTTTGGCTGCCATAATTTAACTTTGAACTGGCCTTATTGCTAGCACCGGCAAACCCAGAAAACATGTGGGACTTGCTCTTACACTGCTGTTATCATCTTGTTGTTACTGTTATCATCGTCTTCATCACCGTAGTTGTCAATATAATATGTTTCATTGTTGGAAACATCGACTCGATTAGGGATTTAAATTGCAGCTGCAGTTGCATTTTTTATTGTGTTACGTTTATCGCAATTTTGATAATAACAGATATTATGACGACCTTTGCGGATATCATATCACTGTTGTGAAATAATAATTTTAGACGGCACATTTACTGTTATATAACAGTCACTTATTCCAACAACGAACCGTTATTTAAATTCCTTGTCACTCGTTTCTCTCTGTCGTTGATCTCTGATTCTTTTTCATTGTAATCATCAAACTCATTGTTGTGATAATCAAAAGACACAAGCTTCAATATTAAACGACCATTGGATCGGTGGGCTCGAAAATATTGATTGAATCTCACTTTCTCTTGTTAGACGTTTAATGTAACCTTTATTAGACGTTTTATGAATAGGGTGGCTCATAATCTTACTTGTTCGATTCTAGGCTTAGCTCTTCTATGTATTTTGATTTGATTTGTCCGGAGGTTATTGTTAAAGTCGTTAAAAACGATGTAACTCATCCTTAATTTATTGGTATTTTAGGTATTCTTTTTCTAAGGTAGAACTCTAACATTGTATTGGTGAAAGGAATTTTTAATGAGACACGACTGTCAAAAATCTACCAATGAGTAAATGATAAAATTCAAATATTTCATAATAGTAGAAATCTACGTGCTTGAGAATCTCATTTTACACATCATTAAATTAATAAAGTTTCACTTTACTTCATCGTAAGTTTTACTCATGTCAAATCATTATGTCATTTGAGACTAATCATTCTACAACAAACATGCTTTGAGCTTTATCGATATAGATAGAATTTTTTTATTAGAATCAATTAACCAGCATCTTTGATATTATTTTATACAAAACATTGTATAGACTTGTAGGTCAAAATTAAGTCACGGATTGATGATTACTAATCTTAAGTAAAAGAAGGATATAGGTTTGGTTGATTTCTAAAACATCATAAATATTTATTGATCGGGAAAATCAAAACCTAATCACAAAAGAATTCTAGACCTACCCCGTCCAAAATATTTTTTTAAAATAATAAAAACATAATTTTATATATCTTATAAATAAATTAATATAGCCGTTCCTCAAAAAACAAATTAAACCCAAGTCAGACCGATCATGAACCCGTCCAGTCACATTATCAATGTCGATACTTTTGGTTAACACCATTTAACTATGAACTGGCCTTATTGCTGGCACCGGCAAACCAAGAAAACATGAGGGGCTTGCTCTTACACTGTTGTATTTCAAGCATTTTCCTCCATTTGCTGTAATCCCATTCTCCGATGGAGTCTCAGCAGTCGGACATTTCACTATTGAGTCTTCAATCACAGCAATTTCATTCTCTTTATGCAAAGCTTCAACCATCTTGTTGTCGTCGTCGTCATGGTCGTTAATAGTATCTGTTTCATTGTCCAAAACATCGACTCGATCATCTTCCTCGTTGACCCCAGCTTCTTTATCATCAAACTCGTTGTTGATATAATCAAAAGGCACAAGATCTAATACTAAACGACCATTGGATCGGTGAGCTTGAAAATATTCATTGAATCCCACTCTTTCTCTTCTGATAATCAACCGTCTATCGCTAGTGTAGTACCTTTTCAACACCCACGGCATACGGCAAGGTATCGGCGGCGGAATATCTTTCTTCTTCGTACAACACCGCTGTTCTCGCTTGTCATGAATACAATCAATTCTACCATCGCCGCTGCCGTAATCATTGTTGCCGAGATCAAAGCAACTCTCCATGCCGATGTAATCTCCGATCAAAGAAGAAGACGTCGGAGAAACAAGGACGCTTGGTGCCATCATCATACAAGGTTTGAAATGGTTTTCCGTATGGGTTTTCTTTGCACAAATGGTTAAGGCTTCGAGTTTAAGCTGTATCTCTGGCAATGATTTCTGGGTCTGCATATTAGAACAAATGATCCTGGGATGTTGGCCCTTTTAATTAAAAGAATGAGATCAAACGTCAAGTTAGGGTTTTATTGGATTAATGAACAGCTAGGGTATCCAGTATGCCTTACAGATATTTGCAACTCAAACCCCTGCAATTTTCCATAAGATAAATTACATATTCATCAAAAATTATATTTTTTCTAAGAAATATATAATTTTTATTGAAAGAAAATATCATACAAGATCATTTTATGCCTCATTAATAAACTCCTTCGAATAAAAAAAACACATAATATTGATCAAGATTATAGAAGAATCGTCCATATAAACAAAATCTCATAATACTTAACAATAACAAGACATATTACAAAATTTATTAACACCCAAATAAACAATAATCTTACAAAAGAACATAAATCTTAGCTCGCTATATTACTTGCATTAAAAAAAACAATATCCATAGTAAAAGAATAAAACATAAACAAATAAAGTTTTAAATTACATTTTAATTGAAAATATACATAAAATAAATAAATCAAGGAGATTAGAATAACAATTAAAGAAAAAACATACCCAGTGTTGAAACCCAAATCAAGAGCTGAAATTGGAATCCGGTCCATCAAAAATCCTAAATTTAAAAAAAAATTCAAGAAAGGGAAAATAAACAAGTTTCTTATATCGAAAATAAATAAAAAGGAAAAGAATTACTTGGCTAGAGAAGAGAGGAGATGAATATATAAGAAGAGAAGCGATCAAGATAGGGACGACGAATTTTTATTAAGGATAGACAGATCAGAAGCAATTAAAAATGGGATTTCCTTTGAAAAGGTAGTGTATATCAGAAGTTTCTTCCATTGACAGATAATGAATTTTTCAATAGAAATATTTTTTAATATATATCTGTGTAATCTCCTTATTTTGGAATAAATTACCTAAATTTAGGCGCCGTTCAAGGGACTAGGATTTCTTCTCTTAAGTGACTTTTTAGCCATTTAATGGGATAAAATTTTAGTTTTTTATTTTTTGAAAATATTTTTATTTTTTAACTCTGGAATTAAATGGTGATTGATAAATATTATATATTAAATATACATACATTATTCCATAAAAAATAGATTATTATTTATGAACATATTTGTAGTAAATATAATTCTTTAGTGAAATTCATTTTTATATATATAGTTTTAGATTATAGTTTCGTAATATAAAAAAAAAAGAATAAAATAATATTTTTATTAAAAACAGTATAGGAGGGATGGAATCAACTTATTTTTCTTAAGAGGTTTAGGTTCAAACAATATTATTAATATGATATGTAAAAGTTTATTTAAGAAAGAAACATGCAAAATATTATTAAAAATGCTAAACAATATATATATTGGCATGGCACGAACTAACATATCTCAATGGTTAAAATAATCGGTGTTGTTTATAGAGGTCGTGGGTTCAAGCACTAGCAACTACAAGGATTTAAATTTAGCAGTTTAAGTTTTGATAAATTAAAAAGTTCAAGGTCTGATTTGAAATTTTTTGTCAAGGACCTATTATCAAAGATTGAAGGATTGAAGGGAAAAGTGGTCTTTTGACATGAAATGAATTTAAAATTCATTTTGAGGCTATATATCATGTGATGAAATGAAGAAAGAAAGAAATAAAGAAAAAGAATAGTCTAAAAACTCTTCTCTTCTTCCTTTCTACACCGTGAACCTACATGCTAAGGTAAGTGATTTAAAAGTTGGTTGTTTTTTTAATTTGAATTGGTTTTTAATCTTTGGGAGGTATAGAGGATTAAGAAAGCTTAAAGGTGACTAAAAACTATGAGATTGATGAGTTAATGATAATTTGGTAAAATGAGTTTCTAAGAGAGTTGATGAAATTTGGTTAGTATTTGGATTTTAAAGGTGTATTTGACTTGTCAAAGGTCTGAATAAGATGTTTGAAGTATTAGAATGGATTAGAAACAAGTTTGAAGAATGGGGTTTATTTTTAGTTTTAAGTATTCTATGAAGAATTTTAGATGTTAAAGAGGATTTAATTGATGTAAGTTTGTTGGAATAAGTGTAAATGAGTTTAAGGGCATGAATGGAGTTAGAATTATGAGATTTAGGTGAATTTTGGGGTAAATTCAAAGTAAAATAAGTGAATTCTAGGCAATGATATCGGTACTGGAAGAACAGTACCGATACAATATGAATTGGATGAACATCATCGATACTGAAGGGGTAGTATCGATACTTGGGGTATCGATACCAATTGTAGGGTATCGATACTATAATGGAAAAGAAAAATTCCAGAATGCAAATTGAGTATCAATACTGAGGTAGGTATCGGTACCATAGAAGGGAAGTATCGGTACTGGGTATAGAGTACCGATAATGTTCAGTATGAAATTGTGAATTAGGTGTTTTATTTAGTTATGTAAATGCTTATTGGTTAACAATTAATTGAGCTCCGATATTCATCGTGGTCATGTTAACATGTAGATTAGATTGAAAGTAAGTGTTGAACGAATTGACGTATAAAGATAGAGTGAAAGTGAAAAGGAGATGTTTAGGGCTTAAGTGAGGCAAAGGTGAGTGCTACTTATTTATTTTATATACGATTGGCGGACGCCTTGCAATGAGCCAACCTTAAATGTTTTTGAACAAAATGAATTGTATTATGTTTTGATTTTAGCTAAATTGTATTTATAAAGCAATGTTTTGATTTCATTGCTATGAGTATATATATATTCTATGTGAAATATTATGAGTATATGTTCTATGTGAATAAATGCTAAGTTGAGTAATGCTATATGAAATGCTATGAGTAATTGTTTTATGTGAATAAATATAAATTTGGGTAATGCTATGGGAAATATTATGAGTATATGTTTTATGAGAAATAATAATTTGAATAATACTATGTGAAATAATTAAATGGTTAAAGCCCAAAATATGTGTTATGAGAATTAGAGGTATAATTGGCATGCCAAGAGTGAGGGTTCTACGCGGTCCTTTAGGAAAATTCTATGTGGTCATTCAGGAAAATTCTACGCGGTCATTTGGAAAAATTCTACGCTGTCCTTCGAGACAAATCTATATGGCACTTCGGTGCATATTCTATGCGGTAGTTTTGACTGTAATTATAGTGCACAACCTCAAAGTACTCACATACCTTGAGTTCTCAGTGATATACGTTGGGCTATTTAAACAAATTAATATGGATTGAATTGCGCATAATAGAGTATGTAATCTTTATGAAATATATATTGTTTTCTGTATTCAATGTTTCTTTTTCCAAAATGTTTAATCCAGTGTTTTATGATTTCATTTTACTCATTTATGCCCCACTAAGTCAAAGACTTAGCGTGTGAGTGTTTTCACATGTAGGTTCAGAGGAGTCAACAGAGTAAGCAAGGGCAGGACATCATATCTTTGAAGAATATCATATCAGAATGATTTGAATAGTATGTGATTTTGTTATTTGAAATTTTGTTGACATGTACTATAAATGTGTAAATAACAAATGCTCTGATATGTCTTGTAACTATGTTTTATTAAAGTTATGTACAAATATTCAGTATTTGATGCATTGTCAAATTTTAGTCAAATTTGCAAAGAGTCAAAGTGTTAAAAAGTCAATGTGACACCTCATATTCGTATCCGGGTCGGGTACATGTCGGGGTGTTACATTGGGTGTTCATTGGTAAATGGTTGAGAATATTTAGAATAGATATTTCTTTGTAATCACCTTTAGCTTAATCAATATATATATATATATATATATATATTGGTGTGAAAATCATGGGAAGTTTGAAATCTCTGAACATAATGAATAGTTAAGTGGTCGTTTTATAACTTTTAATAGTAGATGGACACAACAAAGCAACACCCTATAGTTAGGGGACCATTTTGTAACTTTTAATAGTCAATGACTCAACAATGTAGTATTCTGTAGTCATGGAGCCATTTGTGTACTTTATCATTTTTTATTTGATAAAAATTATAATGTAAAAAGGTAAATACTTTAAATTTCACAAGCTTTTTACTATTTTTATATAGTTGCTATAATATTTTAAAAAACATATATATAATGTAACAAGATACTCAAGCAATAAGTTTAAAATGTTGATTAGTGACACTTCAATTAAATTTTTGAAATCTATTTAAAAAATTAAAATTAAATTTTTAATGTATTTTAAGAAATTCATGTAATTGTTGTATGTGTTTTAAAAATTAAATTTTAAATTGCTTTATAGATCCGATAGGATCTATAATTAAATTTAAATTAATATATATTAAAAAGAAAATGGAACAATTTCTACTTAGGGAAGGAGAAAGGATAATTTTTATTCCTAATATGTATTGAACCCACAACCTATGAGAGAGATAATGTGTCAACTGACAAATTTGTAATATGCTCTAGAGATTGTTAACAATATATATTAAACTTAAAATAACTAAGTAAACATCAATTAGAGAGTCGAAGATAAATACAATCATGAAAAAGATGTATTATAGGATACTACAATAAATTTATCAATTTATTATAATTTTTATATGACAATGCATATAATGTCATAAAATATAGTACAAATGTTACGTGTTTTTGTTTTTGTCACATTTAGTGATTTTGTGATTGATGGTATATTTTTATGATAATTTAAAAAAAATCATTGATTTTTAATATTAATGTTTTGAGTTAAAATTTGCCTTTAAAAATTGATGACAAACATATCAATGACATTTAGATAAAATAGTGATATTACAAAATTGTTTTCAATGAAATTGAAGTATTAGTGATAATTTATTATCTGTTGCAAATATTGAAAAATAGTGTTGTAGTATTATAATCTAAAATTTCCATTTCAATATTAAAGTTAAAAAAATTGTGAAATTAAAATAAAACATGTAATCGGATGGAACTGAATAAATAGAAGAAGTGTAACACCCTTAACCCATACAGGTCTCAGTATACGAGTCAAAGATGTCACATCAACTTAAAAATATTCACTGAATTGAAATTGCCTAAAA